TAAACATACATAATACGCACAAAGTTTATTTTCTTTGTTAATTCTCTATTGGTCTTCTAATGTAGATCATTCACAATGCGTAACCAGCTGTCAAAATTACTTGAGAAATAATGTATTTTTTTCTTGAGCAATTACTTGAGAGCTGGAGACCAACCTTAACAATGTTAATGTCGTCGTATATCTCATAGAGCTCATCGTTCCATCAAATGCGATATTCGCGGTGGCCAACGTGCAAAGGACCATAAATAATTCGCAGAACCCTTCTCTCGAAAACTCGCAACGCCGACTTATCAGATGTTGAATTCGTCCATGCTTCTGCACCATATAGCGGGACGATAATAATGAGTGACTTATAGAGTTTGTTTTTTGTTCGCGGAGAAAGGACTTTACTTCTCAATTGCCTGCTTAGTCCGAAGCACTACCTGTTGGCAAGAGATATTCTGCGTTGGATTACGAAGCTGACGTTGTTGGCGGTGTTGATGCTGGTTCAAAGATAGAGGGAATTACTTAGAGCTTTGTAGTTATGACTGTCAACAGTGACGTGGGTGCCTAGGCCCGAATGCGACAACTGTTTGTTTAATGGCAAGAGATATTTCGTCTTGCCCTCGTTCACCACCAGACCCATTTGATTCGCTGCCTTATGCATTTTGGAGAAACCAGAACTAACAACGCAGTTGTAAAGATCAATGATATCATCACAAAGGGCCAACGAAATTGTACAAGCATATCGTGCGCGTGAGGATAAATTAGCGGTAAGTTATTACAATTGAAAAAATATAACACAGAATAAAAATAATTTCAATTTCAAATTTCGTTTTAAATATCCGCTATAGTGAAGAGATATGGTATTTATCAGCCAAGTTTTTTCAGCTGAAATGGCAAAGGATCTCGATGGTTTTTGGATTTGTGTAGGACACAAGAAAATTTAGAAAAGTTATACACAAACTTACAAAGAGCTTATAGTAGTACCAAGGCTGTTCACGATAAGGTGGTTATCGCGTTATGTGGTTATGTGATTAAGTAAACAACAACAAATTGCGATATGACAAAATAACCAACTTTGACCAACCTAGGCCCTTGTTTACAGATTATGTGGTTGTTTGCGTATTTCCAGTGTTAGAAAGTTGTTGGAATTTTACTAAATGGCAGCACAAAAAATAAATAAAACTAAGCGAATGGCATTTCCATTTAGATTTTCTTATTGGAAATTCTGCTATTAACAGCTGTTTTTTGTTTACAATTGCATTGTGACACTGTTCATGGCGCAAGATGTCTGCAAATTTTATACAAAGAATTTTTTGAACCCTTGAAATGGGGATTATTTAATAAGCACATACCTTAATAAAGTCCATTTCCTGAATAGCAGAACTTATTTTAAATTCAATTATGTTGCTTTTTAAACTTTGTTTAGGCATTATATGAGTAGGAATTTCTTTGAACTTCAACTGTAAACAATGGATAGCTGTTTGTGTAAAAATAAGTAAATAACCATGCAATATAAGATGTTAACGGAGCATAGAGGTTATTTTTAATCTAATAACCACGTAACCCTATAACCACCTTACCCTGAACAGCCTAATTATATATATTATATGGTACTAATTAATTTTAAAAATTGGTTAAAAGAAATATGATTTTATAATTAAATAAAGCATAATAATATAAGAAATACTGAACTTTATTCAGAAGTATTGAATTTGTTAGAAGTAAGAATCTGGTAACAGATATATTAACATATCGACGAAGCGTATGTGCTTGTTAGTGCTAACAAATGGGTAGCAAACTAGCCAACATGTTTACATGGTAAAGGTAACACACTGCTAACCAAAATAATTACACGAACAGATCT